AGACTTGTAGAGAAAGAATTGTACATGATCTTAAAGATCATTTGCAAAATGAAATGTCTCCAGGCTCTCCATTACTTCAATACTGTGAATAATAATAGCTCTATTTTAGTGAAAACAATGATGTTCATTGTTAGAGCTGAGTTTTCTTTTTGACTACTCCGTTCTCTCCTCTTCTTCATGAGAGTAAAGATAATTATGCAAGTGATATTTTTGCTTGATAGTCTGCTACTGAAAAATTATATTGCCAAGTAATTGGATAATATGATTTTCTTGAAAACATTAAACAGTTTTATCACAAGTATGTCAATCTTAATGCCATTAATCCTCCAAGGCAGCAGTTACTGTGCATATGCATTTGCATGCAGCATAGTAGGTGACCTTGTAAGGTATAGTATTGGCCACTCAAACATAGCAACAGCCTGGGGGAAAATTTGTACAGACCTCCTGACTTCAAAAAATGTTTAAAGTGCTGGGTGTTCAGATAGGCTCTTTTCCCAGCATTTTCCAGATCAACAGAAAGCAAGGCATTACAGTGTGCTTAGTATCATATGCATAGAAACAGAATGGAAGAGACAGTGTGATCCCTTTTATTTTCCTAATCTGTAGTTTTGAGAGGCTCAATGTGTCATTTCTTTCCCACAATATGAAACACTAAATTGCATAGTCTACTATGTGTTGCTACAGCTGTTCCTATTAGGCACCAAACAAAGAAGCTCTGAAAATCAGGTCACTTAGTTTATATTGCTTTAGGCACTTACCTATAGGCACAGATGTATTAAAATGTTGCTGTTATATATTATCTGCCTCTGTTGTCTAAAACAGTAAAATAGTCATGCTGAGTTTAAAAGGTTGTGTGTCCTACTCGAGTAATACAGAGACAACATTGAGATTCTTTCATAAAAAGTATAATAACTATTAATAGAGAAAAGAAACATCTAATACTTCTAAAGAATATCTTCATCCTGCAAGTGCTTTCTACCAGTTTCACCATATCATACGGTTTTCTTTTGCTCTATATTCTGAAACTTCCAACTTTTGCAAAACTGAAAGAAGACAGAGGGATGTTGAACCCAAATTTCTTATCCTAATATTCTCTTAAATATTGAAAACTTTCTGACAAAAAAAACACTCAAATATCTGTAAGAAAACTAAGCAAACTATTCAACAAAATACAATAGCTGTTACTATGCCTTCTGAATAAAATATCCAAAACATTCTATTGCTGTAACTTGTCTATGCAAGTAGGACAGTTTCTACAACACTCAGACATCCTCAGTGCCTAAAGTGAAATCAGAAGCATATCTGGGTTGATGTTTTAGGCTGCTCTCCAACAATGCTGTTTGCCCAACCACGGCTGTCTTTTTTCCTTTGGCACATAGAGGGTTTACCCTTAAAACCGTAACTTGGTAATGGAATTTGGGTTGCATTCATATAATTTTCATCATTTTTATCATGTAAGTTCCAGTACCCAGAACAAATTCCAATACCCAAAACAAGAATATGCTCCCTGAATCTGCTGTATTCCTGGTGTCTGTGTGAACGACTCAGCTTTTTTTCTGCAACTAGAGTGCTGAAAGGCAGAAGGGGTGTTAATAATAAGAGTGTGGTGTTGTGATAAATTACTGTGCCTCACTGAGCAAGCCCAGCTCAAGCAGGAGCTTCCTTGTGATCACCTCATGCAAACTGTGCAGTCAGATCTCGTCACGGTATGTTGCCATCTGCAGTATTTGCATCTGTAAATAGCAAGTTTTGTGGCACTTTCACTGCAACCAGTTTTCAAAACTTGGTCTATTGTATTTAAATCATTGTGAGAAGTTTTAGCATGAAAGGTATTGGGCTTGCATATGCTGCTATTGACAACACAACTCGAGAATTTCAGATTTATGATGCCCACAGCAGCTGTATCTCATCTATATTGCAGCTATGGACTAGAGCATTAAATTTAACAGTATGTCTATTATTTAATAAAACTACAAGTGTTCAGCTTGCCTGAAGTGCTGTGTGAGCATTATAACTTTAAATCCTTTGACTTTTACTCAGCTAAAGCAACTTGAATGTTATATTACCATATCTTATTTAATGTATTAATAGATTCATTCCTCTTTTTATTTTAATAAGAAAAACACACAGCCTTAACTAAAGTATGGTAAGTAAAATATTAAACAGACAGAAGAGCATGCCCTCTGTGGTTTCACAGATGCTTTACATACTCTTACTTAGATATTTAATATCTGCCTTAAAAGTGACTTGAAATATCCTTTTAAAGCCTTTAAAGTTCTGGCTGAAGTCCCAGCATTTCATTAAGTTTGATTTCACTAATCCTGTGTTAACTTCTTTCTTGAATATGAGTGATTTGAAAAGTCAAGTTTTTCCATTATTCCAGACAAGCAGAAGCTGTAGTTTTCCAGGTGTGTTGGAGGGGTATTGAAAATAGACTGCACTTTTTTTTTAATGATCCTATAGTCCTAGGACCAAAAAAAAAAAAAAAAAGATTTTTTTCTATCTTTTATAAATGTGCTGGAGGAAGAGTTTAAAATGATCCATATTCCTGTTATGTCACCAGCGAAGAATCAAAACCACTACTAAGTACTTCATTCATCTGCATGTTACATATACGCACAGTAAGAATGGGCCTCAACAACTTCTCATATTTGGAGTCTTGGCATAAATCTAAAAGCTACAGAATTGAAACATGGCCTGTGCTTTTTTCTTTTCCATTTGAAATGGAAACTTATCAGGGCCTTATGTTCAACTCTGTTCCTCCAGTGGTTTTTCTTAATATTTAGTACTCTTTGTCTGTGCTACTCTAGTCCTTAATTAGATCCTTCCCCTTTATTAGAAGAAAAGTGCTTTAAACTGTATTTAAGGATATCTACATGATTACTTCCTATAGATTTGCAATTCTGCATGCCATTGTTCAGAAAGAAAACTGGACATAGAAATATTTCTCTGTGTTAGGAAATACGCATTTTTGAACCCCAGGGAAATACAAAGGAAAAAAGAGTAATAAAGAAAGGAAGAAAAGCAACAAACTTTACACACTGAAGTGGAGTCCAAATTATTAACCAAGATAGCCAACAGTTATTTAAAACAACACAGATCAATGGTTAAAAGAGGCACCAGAAAGCAATTGGTTAAAGAAAATAAGGAGCAGCCAGCAAGGAAAATTGAGTAACAAAAAGAAATGTTGATACAGCTATAAGATGCAACTACACTTCTAGGATTAACTCTTGAGCCCACAGAGGTAAATGTCAGCACTCCCAGTGAGTTAATCAGAGCCTGCCTCAGCCAAGAGAGATCTGGAGGAAGAAAGAGAGCTTAGATTTAGCACAGGAGAAAACAAGTGCTTTTTTCAGTCTGGAAGTTCAAAGGTGACCATAAATCATAATGTCAGCAGCAGGAAGAAGAAAAGTCAACGAGGAAGAAAGTTGGTGATGTTTTGGGCTTGAAATCAGAATGAAACAAAGCAATGGCTTCGCTTGTGAATACTTGGGTTAGTTAATTAATTATAACCAGCAATAATCCCATAAATGCTTTGTTCAAGCAATTCAATACCTTTGTTCCTTTGTTTAACACAGTGTTTTTGGTTTACAATTTACAGCAACATAATCTGATTTTTATGCCATAGAATTTGACCTACACTGACAGTAACATTTGTGGACTGAGGCTTATGGTTGTAGTGGGAGTCAAGAGCTAGGCTGTTAGCAAACAGTGCAGTATTTCAATTTTGATTGTCTAAACAAACTGGCATGTAAGTGCTTATGGTTGAAATTTAAAAGCAATATGTACAAAAAAAATATATATCAGAAGTTAAATATTGGAGGAGAAAAAAGCTCTTCATAGAAAAGAAACAGTGATTTTCCTGGCAGATGCTAGTATTCATAAGTTGTAGGACAAATTTTAGCACCCTAACTTTGATATTGTGTGTTTAATACAGCTTGTAGTGGGTTTTGGGCATTGCATTTATAGCTTGCCTTATATAATTGATGCGGGGAGGATGATCAGAAAAATAGGAAGCCAAAGAGAAAAATAGCAACTACTTATATGTAAAAACTTACATACAATATTTTAAATAAAAATGCTTTTGCAGTTTCACCTTTACTATAAAAATGGGTTTTGCAAAATACCTTAACTTCTTCAGGAACCCAGATCTGCTCCATATTCTTTCTGTTATTTCAGGGACAGGTGTTGTTTAACGATGAGTAAAAAAGATGATCAGAAGCCTCAAGAGCAGAGGATGGGAGGGAATGTGTGGGCAAGAGGACCATCTCTGCTGTGTCCCAGAATCTTGCAAGCAACCAAAGGCAGTATTCCCTACTTCCACAGCCATGGTTGGGTGACTTTTACTTCAGGTCAGGAGAAATAATGAACATGAAGAAGAAGATGAAGAGAAGAAAGGCAAAGAAGGGAATGAAAGGGGTGATTGAGACATACACACTAGCACATTTCAAAAGAAGGATTCCTGGAAGCTAATGGGTATCCGCTAGCACTAAGTATGTTATAGAAGCATTAGTATTATAATTTCACAGTTACAGACCTACTTTTGTGCTTAGTATGCAGCTAAACTGCTTAGGAATGTGTCTTGAACCAAAGTCATTCTGGTGAGTATAGGGCCATGTGGTGTGAATACATTTTGATTAGGGATCCATATTGCACCTTCTCAAACGTCTTGGATATGTGATCTGAACCAAGAATGGTGTGATTTGGTTTGTAAATCCCTTTAATGAAAGCAGTAATCACCAGAAACAGATTTATCTAGGCTATAGTAGATCTAATTGAGATGTTAGCATCATAGTTGCTATACACTTCCCAGGTAACTAGTGGAAAACAAGAGACAACTCCAGCAGTGCTTGTGACTCCACAGGGAGAGGCCACATGAGGGCCACAGCTGGAGAAGGGATCTCATCCACTTGAATTTCTGTTCTGGGTGTGTTGTGGTTTAGCGCGTGCAAATCTCAGGAAAAAGGGTACTCATAAAGGAATTGTATTTACAACTGCAGGTTCCTCAAGATGAATGGACTGGGTACACTCCACGAGGGAAAGATGATGAGATTCCCTGCCGGCGAATGCGTAGTGGCAGTTATATTAAAGCCATGGGGGATGATGACAGTGGAGACTCAGACACAAGTCCGAAGCCATCTCCAAAGATTGCAGCACGAAGAGAGAGCTATCTCAAGGCCACCCAGCCATCCCTTACAGAGCTCACCACCCTCAAGTGAGTCCCTGTTTTACTACATCATTTAGCAGTCTACATTAAGACATAGATTTTCCGTTCTTAATTGCTTCTATCTTTCTTCATAGCAAACAACTGTGTTCAGATACATTTATTTTAGTATGGGGTTTTATGAAGAAGGGTAGATTTGGGCATATGTTTCAATCTTGCCCTGAAAAGAGATTCTTCTACCTGTGCTTTGAATTTGCTAAATATTTCAACCAGTAAGTGTTAAATGAAACCATTCAGGTATATAAAATTGGTCTATTCTTTAAATAGTTTGCAAAATTATAGCTTAGAACTGCATAAGCTTTATATAATTGTGTATTTATTTATACTCAAAATGAATAGCACATGTAATATTAGCCTGAAGCCAATCTTCACAACTCATCAGAGGGAATCTGACATTTAACTAAAAAGAACAATGACACTCTGAAAACAGACAAATCCATGATTTCCACTCTCCCATTCTTTCAGAATTACATTTTTGTGGAAAATTACAGCCAAAATTAAATTTTAAAGATAAAGAATGATGGATTGAAGGTTTTTTATGACCTATACTCATGACATATTAGGTATTTTGTAGTACTAAAGCCTTTCAAAAGAGCCTAGATTCTCAAGAAAATTGCAAGAACTGACAACTTTGGAATTAGAATATTTTTTTAAATACTAAAATGGAGAGCTCCTCTAAAGTAATAGAATGATATTTATCCATAAAAGAAAATAGTGTGGATTTAATTCAACAATTGTTTTTATGTGTCTCTTGCTAAATATCATAGCTATAATAGTGAATCATAGTTCACTGAACCAAAAATAACCTAATTCTAGTGTAACTTGCCTAAGGCTGTAGCTTTAAAATGGAAAAAAAATGCAGCTATATCTCCTAGTGTCCATGATTAGTGACAAGAGAATCCTTCTGCATTTCTTCATTAATTTCTTCTCTTTCTGTGTCCTCCTCTACCCCACATTTTTGCTGAGATCTTATCTGTGAAATAGATTGTAGAGAAAAGTTTGATCCATGTTAAGTGTGTCATGCTCTTGACTTCAGTGATGAATAGCACAGAAGACAAGAACATGCTTATCACAGCTTCGCATAGGAGCCTGTCTGACTCTGTTCCAGGAGAGGCCAGGAATTGCTTCTGTCCTTTCATAAGTTTCCAAAGGAGGAAGCAGTCACATTTTCTGCAGGGATTTTCATAATCTTTCTGGGGTTTGCTCAGTGATTCCTCTCCTTAACCCTCCTTTCCTGGGACAAAATACCTCCTCTGAAAACAGTTATAGCAACTTAGGCAGAGTCCTCTGGAAAAGTGAACCTGAGTGTTAGGCATGACCACAAGCTACACAAAGCCATCAGCCATAGAGCTTCTTCTGGTCGAAACTTAACAAATATCTGCTCCATAGCTCTATCATATATTTGTAAAACAAAGTACTTCACAGGGCGTTTATTTGCTTTTGGTCATACTTTTATTTCTGTTCTCTGTAAACATGAGATTTGAAAAAATATATAGAATTATTAAAAATAAAAAGTGCCACATATCACTGCTCATCCACAGAGGATGTTAGATTAGAGGGGTTAGACAGCAGAAGCTTTGGAGTTTATCTTTGAAGTTGTAATTCAGCAAAGTACTTGTGAGAATTTCATTTTACATATGTTTAAATCCCTTCCTATTCAGGAAAGCTTTTAGGAATATGCTAAATTTTAAGCTTCACTTGGTAAAATTCATGTAAGCTTAGGAGCTGTGCATAGGTAGAATGTAAAGCATAGAAAGTGGAAAATAATAAAACAAAAGTGATGACAAAATATAAAATTACTTTTCTTTTTCAGTGACTTTTCAGCATGAATGGGCATGAAGTAGAATTATTTCCTACATGCTAGGATAATACATTTGATATCCTTGCTGGAAAGGCTATCCACTTTCAGTGCTGATTTCTATGGACATAATTATGCATTGCTTTTATTCCTTCCTGTTGAACAGCTTTTTTTTTTTTTTTTTTTTTTGGTGAGAGGTAGACAAAGATTGGAGTCTTCTGTTAAGCTGGCTCTTCTGCAAAGTACAATTAGGATTGTCAAGAGGCTATGCAGACTTCTTCATACCTTCTTCATAGTATGACTTGACCTTGGCCTAGAGAAGATTGCTTATTCGTCCCAAAGCTACCCCAAGTCCTCTGAGAGTTGTGACAAACTTTTGCTGGCATGTGAGCCAGGCAGTAAAGTAGGGCCCCTAACTCACTGAATGCAGGTCACTGAGCAATTGTCCAATGTGTGATAACACGTTATTTCCTTGACTTACTCTTGACTTGTGCTCGGTTTGCACCTTGAATAATGGCTTAATGGAAATAAGTCAAAAGTTATTTAGTGAACAGACAACATTTTACTGATGGTAGTGGACTTTCTATCTGACCTTACTGGACGTTACTGATACCTTAAAGCTGAGCGATCTTTATTTATTTATTTATTTGTCAGTGAAGCACAGTTTCCTTGTTCAGTGTTTCTATAAATAAATAAATAAATGTTTCTAAAGAAACATCAGCAATTACTGCAAGAGACCTCAGCACTTCTTTCTGCTTCTCTTTCTCTGTTTTCTATATGCGGCATCCAGTGTGGCAGGTAGTTGGCTTCACTTTCATGTTTGACAGGAAAAGAACTTAAAATGTGTCTTATTTCACTCTCACTGTTGTTTTTGGAGGGATTTTTTTGTTTTGTAGGACTTTTCCTTTCTAAATACGTTGTCTAATACTGGTCTCACAACCCATGTTCTGCCTCCCACCTACCTAACTACCTCTTCTAAGAAAGAGTTTTCAATTTTTCATTATTAGCGAGGTTTCTTTTTATAGAAGGAATAACTTTTGAGTAGCACAACTGTGTCATATCCCCTTTACGTAATGCAAATTTATTTTCCTGGTTTTGTTTTTTTTTTTCTTCTTCTACCTCACAGTCCACCTCCTACAGTGTTCCTCCCATGCCATGGTTTCCATGTGATTATGGAACATGTTTCAAATGCTGTGGGTACCCTTCTGAATAAAGCACAGCTTGCTGTGTTCTTGAAATCCACACCTCCGCTGCTGCATTCTCATTATCCTACCAGGAAGTGAGCAGCTTTTTCTCTCTCTCTCTTTGTTGGCAATGTCCTCTTGGTATTTAATTTCTCACAGTCTAGATAAACTGATCCAGGTGAAACATGTGGTATTTTCTTGTCCATTCCCAAAAAAAAGTGGCAGAAGTTTATCTTGCATTCTGTCACAGATAGAAACAGGACTGGTTAATTCACTACTGAAGAAGGTCCAGGTAACTGATATTTCTAGCATAGCTGAGATTCATTCAGGGTGTCTTCCTTCACTATCTTTAAGACAAGAGGAAATGGCCTCAAGTTGTGCCAGGGGAGGTTCAGATTAGATATTAGGAATACTTTCTACACAAAAAGAGTGGTGAAGCATTGGAAGAGGCTGCCCAGAGAAGTGATGGAGTCACCATCCCTGGCAGTGTTCAAGAAACATGTGGATAAGGCACTTAGGGACATGGCTTAACTGGCATGACGGTGGCAGGTTTACAGTCGGACTTGATGATCTTGAAGGTCTTTTCCAACCATAATGATTCTATGATTCTATCTGTATGTACTTTTGTTATGCTCAGCCTGGTTTTCATTGGAGGTGAAAATACAGAATTGCATTGTCTATCCACAAGCCATTGGTGAGGCTGTACCTGGAGTACTGGGTGCAGTTCTGGACTCTCCAGCATAAGAATGGCGTGGAGCCCCTATAGAGGGTCCAACATAGAGCGACAAAGATGATTAAGGAATTTGAACATCTATCTTATGAGGAAAGACTAAGAGAGCTGGGTCTGTTTAGCCTGAAAAAAAGATTGAGAGGGGATCCGATCAATATGTACAAATACTCGAGAGGATAATGTAAAGAAGATAGGGCCAAACTATTCTCGGTGGAGGCCAGTGACAGGACAAGGGATGATGGGTATAAATTAAAACACAGGACGTTCCATCTTCATGTGGGGAAGAACTTACTTACCGTGACGGTGCCAGAGCCCTGGCACAGGCTGCCCAGAGAGGTTGTGGAGTCTCCTTCTCTGGAGATCTTCCAAACCCGCCTGGATGCCACCCTGTGGCACATGCTCCAGGTGTCCCTGATGGGGCAGGGCGGTTGGACTAGATGATCTCTAGAGGTCCCTTCCAACCTTAACCATTCTGTGATTCTGTGTGACTTCTGTCACTTCTGCCTCCTAGTAAGTTTTGAATCTGTTGATCAACTTTAGCCACTTTTGTTAGAGAAGTAAGTCTGAGAGTTTTGAAATTCAAAAAGTTTTATAAAGATCTGTAGCTGCATAAGGCAGAGAAAGAGCTGAACTAGTCCCTTGGGATTACTTGAAGGAGTTGGTGCATGGTAGCTGGCAAGTCAGCACAAGCTATAGCTTGTATACCACAGATGGCAGCACTTTCCCAGCCTGAAAGATGACGGATGTGGAAGGGACTAGAAAACTCTGCTGATGCCAAGAGTTTTAACTGAGGTATCCCTTTACCATAGCTTTTATATTTCTCTTTATTCTGGCCCTCCTCGACAGTATGTGCATTCCCAGTTTAAAGTATCGGTTCAGGTTTTCTTCCTAACTCAAAAAATTTGCTACTTTGGGAATTTGGGCCTCTTCAGTCTTTGTGTTTTGCTTGTTAAATGTTATTTTCTAAAGTAACATAGTTGCTCAATCTATAGTAATTCATTTTTGGACATTTTGCATACATTTTGGATAATGATGTAGAGCTGTGGTTTGTATTTGATCATAAATTTGTTTTCTTTTTTTCTGAGAGAAGCTGTATTCACTGATCAATAGTGTATTGACCATTTCAGTGGTCTGGATACATGGAGATACATTTATAGAAGTCATTCAAAAAAGAGATAGAAAAGTGAGTTCTTTCATAAAAAAGTAATTTAAAGGTATTTTAATAGGCTTGTCATGCTTTATATTCAGTTGTAGACTGGAGAAATAGTTTTTAAAACTG